GGGATCGAGAAAAAGGGAAAGGAGACGCTGACAATTATCCTAGTTTATTTTCTCTTTATTCCCAGCCTGCATCCACCAAATTCCTTTCGTGCTCGGACTGCCCACAGCAGTTCCTGTCGTAGCGTCATTCCCTGGAACAATGGTGGATTCCTGTTTATCTCTGCGCCGTCTTTGATGCACTTTATCTTTGGCACGCCACAGCATTGCTTCCTTATTTATTCATCTGGTTGGGGCACTTTTTTTTTGTTGTTGTTTTTAAAAACTTCTTAAATTTAACTTGCTCGACAGTGGGTCAAGATGAATGTCTTTGGAACTTTTTCAATTGAGCTACAGCATTTGTAGAGTCATGTAAAGTGGTTACTTCCAGGTCTGGATAAGTACAAAAAAAGAACAGGGTTTCCATAATGTTTTTTTTTTCTTACCTGTTGTCAGAAAGATAAAATTTTACTTTGTAAAAATAAAGAGCTCAAAATAGTTTTTTACATTTGTCATATATAAAATGGATGCAAAGCTATTACGTTATTATTAAAGCCTCATTGCTATATCAAAGTAAACCTGAACTAAAAGCGTTTGGCTATAAAAGCAAGATTATGATGATATAATCAGTTCTAAGCTACAGTATCTAAAAATGTAATCTTCTGGTAAAATAAGAACAAACACTTCTAGACCAATAATTTACTGTCTCAATTTGTCTTCTTATCTGTAAACTACAAAAAAATCTGGCTGCAAATGCGTACCACCGTAATAATTGCTGAACCTCTATGGAAGTCCCCACTGTTGACCTATTTTTGCCTATTTTATTTTATGGAAACAAACACACGTGGTAGTTGCTTTCCGTTAACAAATGTTTCTTACATTTATTATTATTTAAGGACAGATTAACCTTTAAAGTGACTAAAGTACATTAATCTTGGTTTCTTACACTGGAATGTCTTCAATAGAACAAAAAAAATGGATTTTTACTTTGAGATGAAAATMTTTAAATGTTCTAGTTAGGGAAAAGTCTGGAATTTGAAAAGTAAATGGTTGAAATCCCCACTTTGTTCACCATTGGTGTATTGTTTGTTCCTCTTTACTGTAAATATGTGCTGATAGCAGAACTATTTGGGCTGAACCTCTGGTTCTGCAGCAGTTCATGAATGTGAGGAGATTTTCCATTACAACAGCAGCGGTCTAATTTTGGACTGCCACAGAAGCCTTAAAGACTTCAGATTGAGGAATGCATGCTTTTGTGATAATTTCTTGTCCTCCTGTTATCTCTCCCCCTTTGCACACACACACACACACACACACGCGCGCGCACACACAAACACACCAGCAGTGTCTCACACACAAACAGGTACACACATCCATGGATTAATGTGGGCCAACAGAGACACCACTTCCTCCTCTTGTGTAACTATTTCCTGCTTCTGATAAAGGAACATCAGGACTCCTCTGGGTGAAAGGGAGACGCCCAGAGAACTCAGCATAAAGAAATACAAATGTGTCTTCAAAATTTTACCTTTTTTATTTTTATTTTTTACATACAGACAAAGAAAGGGAAGCTCAGAAGTCAGCTGTAGAAACGGTCCAGCAGCCCGCTGTAGGCGTTGGCAGTGTGCAAACAGCTTGTCCAGTTCCTTTCACTGCATCACGTCATTTCTTCTCTATTGTTCTTCTGTGGCTGACAGCATGATGTCACTGCCGCGATGTGGATGTGACACAAATGCACACAGAGACACACACAGTCACACACACAAAAATGCCGTTTTTAGAGCATGTAATGTCTGGAAAGCAGAGTTGCACCTCCGGTGCAGGGATCATTGTTGCCGTAATGTTTTTACACTAAAATCCAGTCCATAAAGGGTGACTTTGTACACGTGTATGAATGTAAAACTGCCCAAATAAATGGGCATTGATGGGTCTGTTGTCTTAAAATAGTGGTGTACTGGAAAATTTGTAATGAAGCTTTCAAAATTAACCATTAAAGTTCAATTTTTAACTGATAATTTTTTTTTTTTTTGCACCGGTCCAATTTACAATGGTTTCCAGAGCTAACCAACCTTATTGAACACAAACAAGGCTGCAACACAGTCAGTCATAGATAAAATATGCAGTGGTAGTGGGTGCAAACCAGTTACAACGYATACTTTGAGCATGACATCTCCAGCATTGCATTCCACGTATTTGCAGTTTCATGGTTTGACTTGAAAAGATACAACTCTGTCATTAGTCAAGTTAGCATCCTGACATACAGACAACTAGTGATTTTCGTTTAAAGTTCAAGAAAAGAAAAAAAGGGTAAAAAAAATGAATTTCTCTTTTTTCTCAAGCACTCATGAGTTTGAGGTCTAAAACCAGTTTGACTCAGACTCATGCTGTTGATTTGCTGTTTTAAGGCATATTAAACTGGTCAAACAGAGAAGCCCTGATCCAGTCTGACACTTGTTTCTCCACCATCTCTAAGAGACGACAGGACAGGAGAGGATGCTGAACTAACAGAGGACCAGATGGCGCAGCTTCCAGCTCTGTTGTGAGGACAGTGTGTGTGTGTGTGTGTGTGTGTCAGCCTCCCTGCCGCGCTGATCGGAGCTAATTAACACTCAGCTGATCTGAGACCGGCCCGTCGGCCTGCATTTAGCAGCACAAGCTCATTAAACTGGTCCGCTGTCAGCTCCCCTCCATCGGAGCGATSCAGTTGTTTTTGCTGTGTGTCAGACACGAGGAAGAGGTGAGGTGTGTGTCAGCGCCGAAGGAAACCCTGCGTCTCCCAGCTCAGGTTATTAGCATTTAAAATGAAACCCACCTTTGTTCTGCTCCTGTGGACCTCTGCAGACAAACCCACCTCTGGGGAAATCAGCTCGGAGGGAAGCGTGCGCTCGTTTTGAACACGTTAATCTTTTCAGGACTGCAGACTTAAACACGCTGTCTGCGGGGTTTTTTTTTTTTACTCGCACATGTGCGTTTCTAACCAATAAAGCGGTTAGCAGTCTCGCTGTCTGGTGAAATTGACATTCCTTTACGCGCTCAAAAAAGGTTAACGTTACATACAAGCTGAACAAAAACCTGCCCTTGGTAGCATTTCATAAAAGCCTCCTATCAATCTTCATACAAAACCACAGCACCAAACACCCCCAGCTGGGATTTTTAAGTAGTTCATCTGGTTTATGAAGGCCCGTCTGCTCCTGAGAGCCCCCCTTGGTGAGTTTGATAGCTTCTCTTCCTCGTATATGTGCTGGAGTGTGTGTGTATGAACTCATTTCTTGCCCGCGTGACAGATTTACTGGYGCAATAGCTGCCGGTGCYGAGCTTCACCAGGGGGTTATGGTGTTTGGAGGGTAGGTAGGGGGTCTGTAAGGCGCCCTCCAGGCTGCGCAGAGAGGGATGAAGTCACTTTGCGCGCAAACACAACACAACACGTGACCGACTAACGAACGAGCACCCCATAAATCTGTGGACCCCCATCCTGCACGATGTTTACGTCTGAGAAGCACCTAAACCCATTTTCTCTTAGCTAAACGTCCATGTTTTTAACAGTTTTTGTTGTTTTATCTGATCAAAGCCAAGTTGGATCAAAAGGGGAACTAAAGGAGTTGAAGATAATTTGGAAAAATATGCGCTGACAGTGATTCTCTCATAAAAACAATGATCTCATCATTTTTTTTGCGAGGTTTCATGTAAAAATACTTATGTTTTATTGACTCCTGTAGCATCAATAAGATTCATGTTATTTTAGACAGGCAGGCAGCCCCTCGCCCCCCCTGCTCCATCCATCCTCCCTCTTTCTCCCCTGGTGACTACTTCACCCCCCAGGCATGGCAGCTGTGTTCTCCTGTAGGCATTACATCACTGCAAGAGCAGCCCTGATACTGATCCCTTGACAACCAGCACTATCAACACACACACAGACACACACCAACATGCATGCACTAACACCCCCCACCATACACACACACACACACTTATATATGCATGTATTTAGACTGAATAACTTTCTAACCCTTGCAGCAATGTCCTCCCAGTCTTTCTCTCACCTTTGCACCATTTATCCTTCTCCTCACACGTGTACACACACACACACACACACACACACACACACTATGAAAGCTGACCACACACATTAACTCATCACCCCAACCTGGCTGATCCAGAGGATGACGTCTCTCTTTCCTGTGATATATCTTGACAGATGATCTGCGGTGTAGGATGACGCTCCTGTCGCTGCCTGTCTCCGCTGGAAGGAAACCAGGAGGCAGGCGCTGACAAAAATATACAAAATGATATATATTTTTAAAGGAAATTTATAATTTATTTGCAAACTTTTGGTCCAATTTTTTTAAAAAGTGAATTTTTTTTTTTTACTTTTGTGTTGTAGAACAATCAACCAAATAAAGGAAGGAGTATTTAAACKAATAATTATGCAAACACATTTTTGTTAATACATATTGAAGCATGTTTTTATTTATATGAATAATATATTTATATATACTTTAACTATTTGCACTGTAAAGACGTGTAACATTAGAATATGCTTATTTACAATTTACAAAGACATTTGATCTGCCTCTGTGGATATGTACAATTATATTTGTTGAGCCCCATTTATTAATCATTAATATTGATTCAAAAGAAAAAAGATTTTAATGTATTTTCTAAGCAAAATTCTTGGACATAGACAACCTTTTATAAAAATTTAAAAAATATAAAGGCTAATATACAATAATTAAGCAAATATGAGTAAATTCTGGCATCTAAATCAATAAAAGTGACACTGCAGTTTATTTACTGAACATTTTATATAATATAAAGCTCTGCTCATATTTGTGCAATGTAATAATCACTTTATTTATAATTGCATTACTGTCAAATTTAATGTTTTTCTCTATTAACCAGTCAAATATCTAAATCTCACAGGTTTAGAGAAGTAATCTGATCTCCTCCTAGTCTTAAAAAMCCCCTAAAACTTCTGCCCACCTTCATTTTTTTTTACCCCATGCCTCTAACTTATCCCCATCTGCACCTCTCTCTGTATCTGTTTTGGTTGTTCTCTATGAATGTGTGTATATAAACTGTGCGTTGTCCCAGTAACAAGACCTCCACCACAAAAACATGCTCTAAATCTAACGTGGCATCTTAGAGGAGGGGGGGTGCGCGGTGTGACTGTCCCACCTATTTCTGTTGCAGCGGAGGCACACGTGTGCAGTAAACTTAAAAAAAGAAGAAAAAAAAAGTCATAAGGCCCGGCCGGCTGTCATTTATAGAATCTTAGATGTAATCCTCTAATTAACACATCTGCTATTCTGAGCCTTGTTACCCTGCTGAGGGCCGGACGAGGAAGACGAGGGGGGGATGAGGAAGATGTTCGCTGCAGGACTTGAGTCGAAGCTTTAAAAAGTAGATGTTTGTTTTATTGCCTTCYGCCGCTGTGGGAGTTAAAACTGTTTTTTATAGACCGAGAAGCACCAAAGGGAGGTGGGATCTGATAAAACCGGGTGTTTTAAAGTGTCTTTGTTCACCATCATGAAGCGTCACTCCGGCTTGTGTCTGCAGACAGAGAAAATATGCATGTGTCTCACAAAGGTGTGTATGTGTGGTTTATAATCTGACGCTCCCATATCTGCGTTTGCCACAAAGCTCATCAAATCAATGCGACCCATTTCCCCTGTGTACATCTCCTTTGTTGGACGGTGGGGTGACGTAAGGCTGTGTTCTCAGTCGTGTGTGATCATCTGTAGGGGTGTCCACAGTGATGAGATGAGGTCAGTCAGCGTGCAGCTGGCCTCCCCACTAGACATCTTGTATATACTTAATTGTCTTCCTTTGGATCTGGGCAGTGACTTAATGGGCCTGCGGTCCATCTGACCTGGTTTGAATGTAATCAGTGCGCCCAAACAGATAGAAAGGAGGGGTAGTTGACTGGCTTTTTTTGTGTTTTTTTATGAGTTTGGTGCAAAAGATTGATTTTTTTAAGGGTTTGTGCAAAGTGGTGTTTAGGAAATTGATGACTTCTACAGTTGGGAAAAGTAAAAGTGATTAAAGTTCCATCTGAGGACCCAGTGTGCAGGCGTTCCCGTCAGTAGCTCTCTTGTGACTTGTGATCTAAATTGTTATCATTCCGTAGAAAAGAACCGGGAGAACAATGGAGAACGGCTGAATACCAGAAACCTGTTTGGGCTCCTCATCACCTCTCTCCCTGGTTTTCATCATCTGGCTTCCTTTTGCTTTTGCCAAGCTTCGCTCACTGTTGCGTCCGAAAATGAGAACAAATTGGAACATTAGACGATCCAGCAACGCGAGAAACRTTTATGAAGTTGCACACATTACATCACCTTTGGCGGAACATCGTCTGTAAACACACAAAAGTCTTAAACCTTTTAAAGTTCTGTGTGAACCTGCATCATCGAGGTAAAAACAAGAAAAAAAGCTTAATTTGAGAGTAAATGTCTTGATTATTTTGCACAAAAGCTGCCATGTTTTAAATCAAATGAATGAAAGCATCATCAACAAACATGTTTACGTGAGATCTGACTTCACTGTGTCGCACTCAATCAGCTCTTTACTGTGATTGGACGACACAGACGTCATAAAGTGTTTTTACTGCACTAAAGCTTGTCAGCTTCATCTTTGCTTCCATTCTGCCCAGATAGACTGCTTCATAGCTGGGCCCCTGAGGTGGCTGCATACTTGCTGGATGAGTAAGGAATGTGGTTACGTGCCTTAGATATTAGCTATGACGGGAGCGCTGGCTCCACGAGAGAGGGAGGCAGCAGAGGAGGAAGAAGAGAGGAGAAGGAGGAGGGCGGGATGTCGGCTAGAGTCTGAGCTCACGGCAAGTGAGCTCATTCAACCTCAGAGCTCGAAGAGGGAGTGTGGCTCCGTCATCCTTCTCACAGCGGCAGTCCGAGGAGGAGGGAGAGGGAGGAGCGCGAGCCGGCGCCGCGGCGAATCAGAGGCGAGGAGAGTGGAGCAGAACAACAATAGTGGGCTGCTCTTCTGGCTCTGGACTCAGAGACAGAGGGAGCGCTCAGAGATACACACAGACGCTGTGTAAAGCAGCTGCAGGCGGATCACAGCTGCTGTTTACATCCAGACGTTACAGGCTACTCTTTMTTTTTTTGTGTGTTTTTCTTTTTCCTGTGCTCTCTCTGAACCACTCTTCAGAAAACCACAAAATTCTTAAATATTGACTTTGGAGCATTCAAGGAATTTTTGTGGGTTAATTCCCGGGACTTTTGCCATATGTTGACTTGAGGACATTTTGGACTTTTTTTTGCTCTGAGTGAAAAGTGAAGCAATCATTGGAGCAGCATCATTTTTGACTCTTGTCACCCCTTCCAGGAAGAACATTTCTGTTTGTTTGTTCTGATATTTTTTMTTCTTTCTTTGGCGCGGGGTCGTTCCATCCCTGAAGAAAGAGGYGCCGGAACATTTTTTTGCATCTGCGTGAAAGCAGAGTTTGTATTAGGAGGTGGGGGGTGATGCCTTTGGATGTGGTGATTGCCCCAGCCGAGGACTGCTTTTGGCCGGACCTGCAGGACACAGACATGAGGCTGAAGATCAGGGTCCGCAGGATGAAGCAGGGAAGAGAGCTCAGAGGTGTGTATCCACCTGGAGAGCAGAGACGTGTGTGTTTGTGCAAGAACTAAAACCAGAACGTCCTACTTTTGCAAGCAACAGATAGAGGATAAATGTCTGTGTGCATGCTAAAGATTCTGATTGCATAGAAATGCATTTCTGGGTTGCAAACTTAGCAAAACGCTMCTGCTTGAATGCTGATTAGCAAAGGTAAAGATGCACTGCAGAGGACTACAAAAGGCACTGTGGGCTCTCAGGTATTCCAGTCCATGCATACTAAGAAAAGCCGGTGTGAGGAGAATTTGAAGGATAATTCCCAGATTCATAACAAATTTACTCTTACAGAAAGCAAAAACGGAGTCAAACCTAATTGTTCCCTGTGTCCTCTCAGTTAACGTGTTCAGAGGGAAAGAATAGGATAAAATGAGGGCATCAGAGGAATGACATCATGAAGATGAGACGCAACGAGGAGGAAAGAGTGGAGAGAAAATAGCTTCAGGGGAAAGATTGAGAGCCCTGACCCGCAGTATGACATAGAGCTCATATTCTCTCAGCTTGTGGTCATTGAGATGTTAAGCTGGTACAAAGGCTCTTTCTCAATCTCCTGCTCTGCTCTGGGCTTTTTTTTTTTTACACTCAACGTCCCCCTCTGCAGAACGGTGTCTTGTGGAGATTATGTTATCAATGTGTGTGCAGGGTGCACTGCAGGTGTTTATCATAACATTTCCCACTGAGCGATGAGGTAATGCAGAGGAAAGGCTTTAAAAAATATWTWTTTTTTAAAAAGACGTGCACATTTAGCTATTTGAGGAACAGGTTAAATTCTCTTTAGGTCACGTCGGCGCTGTGGTTCAAAGCTGCAAAGTTGGCAGCTCAGTGCACCTGACACTCTTTACAGTTCGTGCACATGTGGACGCTCGGTTTAGCCACAGCCAGCAGAGAAAATGAGGGGAGGGAGAAAAAAAATCACACGTTTGACATCATGGGATAAATATAGAAGCGTGTCACAGGAGCAGAATGACGCTAACACGCCGCTGTGAGAATCAATTATAAATGCAAACTAAAATATAGGCGAGTTTATGAGCTTTTATTGCTGTGGCACAACCCTGCTGAAGCAGCAGTTGATGACATAGTCCCGCCATCTGAGATACAGCAACAATAACCAGTTTTACCATCGGCGAGTGTGACAGCATGTTTATCATACCCCGTCATAAAGCTGACAGCACGCACGGAAAACAATGACCTCATCTCACTGTTTTACTGACCGAATCTAAAAAAGAAAAGGGGGGGAACACTATTGCATTGCTGCAGCAAGGCCTTTGTGGAGCTGAGAGGGACATGTGTGCAATGATGTCATGTTGGGAGGCTGAGGGGGCTCACATTGAGATGCTAATGTCCCCTCACAGTGGAGGGGACAGCTGGAGGGGCACAGAGAGATGGCGTCATGTCTCCCTAGATGTGTACAACAGAGGAAAGCGACAGGAGGGGTGGTGGGGGGGGGGCAGTCATTCAGGCAAATCAATGTCCACCGGCCCCCTCTTCTTCATTAAAGGTAAAGAAGGCAACTGAAAGCTACACAGAGGCTGAAGCACCCTCTCTGGGGAGGGGTGGGTGAGTCGGTATTGACAAGGCAGTCAATTGTAGCAGCTGCAGTGATGTAACAGCATTGCTCCTATTAAATGTAACGCCTAGGCAGGTGCTTTATCAATCTTTATCTGCGGGTTTTCCTCCCGTCATTAAACTTTAAAAGCTTCCTGCTGCATAACGGATCAGAAAATCCTGCTTTTCCTTTCAATGGCCTGTCCTAGACAGTTAAAGAKGAGGTGTAGAGACATTATTAAATAAAAACATTTCTATAGGATGTAATATTCGTTCTTATGAAGTCCTGGTCAAGATGGCGGAGCAGGTCTGTAACAAAAATTAGCTTTATGTTTTAAGTTCCACCAAAAAAATAAATTAAAAAAGCTGTTTTCAAAGTTTAGAAAGAGGACTCAGTGCTCGTGAACAAAGAAGGCCTGAATTCTACATTTTGGCAGAGCAGGAGAGGAAAATAATCAGTTGCATAAATGATGAAGTGGGCAGAGAGGAACGGAAAATAGATGCCGATGGCGACACAGTGCCCTTTTTCCTGGTTATGTACTTTCCTTCTGCCTGGAATTTTTTTATTTATTTATTTTTTACAGTGTGTTTTCAGAACTGGGTTAGTTAGTCATATCCTGTTCAAGCATACTTTCATAGCCTCAGCTTGTGACTTTTTACCTTCGAATTGTTATTTTTTGTTCCAAAAAGAACACTTTTGTTTTCTTTTACTTTAATTTTTTTCTTTTCTTTTTTTTTTCTTTTCTTTTCTTTTTTTGTCTTCCTCTGTAAACTCTGCAGCAGATTGCATTTTTTGCGTTGACATGGAGGTGAACTCATCTCCCTGGTTGTTTGACTTTCTGATGTCATCCTGGTGGACAGGCGGGCTCCTGTGTGTCACGGGGTATTTTCTGTGACTTCAGCATGAGTGTTCAGTTTGTTTAGATTGGAATGGACGCATGTGTCATCGCTGTTAGGATGTGTGTCTGGGCTTTTTGGTGCTCGCTGTTGGGTATTCACATGTTCAGATGACCCACCCCCCACCCCTCCTGACAATGCTGAGGGAGACAAGTTGAGCCAATTGTCATCAACATCACCGCACTTTCTTGTTGCCAAGGCAGCTTAGAGCAGAGTGAGTTTAGGTGACAAGGGGCCAATAACACGCTATCTTTTCTATGACTAATGTCCATTAGTGCTGGCCGTCTGAGGCTTTGATTACAGGAAGGTGTTTGTAATTGTGTTGATGTAATGTCGCTGCAATAAAAGAGCCGTTGAGAAAGGGAAGTAAACACTTTTAATTCTGCTCCTTATCTCAGACTTCAATCTTCCTCCGTGCCTGTAACTCTTTACTCATCCCCTCCATCACACTTTCCAYCCTTTAAATGTTTATCCAACCCAACATGGGATCTGCTGCTGCCCTTATCAGAGCCGGCTTTTGGCATAGGCGAACTAGGCGGTTGCCTAGAGTGCCATCTCCTGGAGGGGGTGCCAAACTGCAGAAGGAAAAAAAAGTAATTATTTGTAATCCCTGGTTGTAACTCTGCTCAGCGCCCCTTTCAATTACCTTTGTCCAAAAAAACTATAATGAAGTATTACAGAAAAAATAAACTATACCCATAAAACATTTTCTCCCCATCCCCAATGCAGCAATCGCCCYCACCCTCTCTCTCATTTGATTGATGTTRCACTGCAAAGGAGAGCGGAAAAAGTTCAAAACTTATTTCTACTGGCAGAACAGGTTGGAAGATGGCTATTTAATGTTATTTATTGTTTTTAAATCATCCTACAGGCTCTGACATGTTAGACAAATTTGAAAATGAGGTTTTGAAAAAATCTGTAAGACTTGAAAAAAATCAGTGAGATTGCCCTATGTGTCCGTATACCTGCAAAATGGCGTAAAATCCTTATAACTTACAGACAATTCATACAAGTTGACATGTATGTTGTTATTTGCTTTCTGGGAAAGCAAATAAATCTAAGTTTACCATAGTAACTTTCACTGTCAAACTTTTTTAGGCGTTTTTAGGTATTTAAATTGGGGTGGGTGGGACATTGTTCGGGGGTGGGGGGGTGCACTGCAACTCGCCTAGGGCACCAAAATGGCTAGAGCCAGCACTGGCCTTTATTAATCTAGGATGTAAAAGGGGTCCTCTTCATGTTTTCACTCCTCCTTTCTGCATGCAAACATACTTTCTCTTCAGCGACGGCCTCTCGTGCTGTGGAACATCCTGTCTTGCGTGCTTCTAACAACTTTTTCTAACAATGTCTTTACATAAAGGAGGAAATAGTTGGCGTGTGACGAGAGGCTTTTCCTGTAAACTCAACTGCCTTCAGGAATGTAGCTCTTCCTCTGGCAGACACCATATATATAACATGTATTATGTTTTTTTTTTAACAAAATCATGCCTGGAAGCAAGAAAAAATCCTTTAGAGGGCGCTTTTTTCTCTGGTTTATCAATTAGTGATGGTGTAGCGCTGCGCTTTGACCAACAGTGACGAGTGGAAGTGTAGAGTGACCTACAGTTTGTTTAGGAAACACTGGAAAGGTTAGATCACAAATTCACGCTGCCACCGGAGCACTCCCTCCGTTTTTGCATTGAGGTTTTTCTCTGAAGTTATTTGATTACACTTTCTGCAGCCACCCTCCTCTCCACACACCCCACTCCCCTCCCCGTGTGAAGCGCTGATGTCATCGCTCCGTCGGCTGCCATTAATAGCTGGAAATAGACGGGCCTTCTTCTCTCTCTGCTCTTAAAGGAACAGGGCGCCCCTGAGTAACTCCGGCGCACGGTGATTTTACTGTGCAGGAGCTCCAAAAGCCTTACCTTCTGTTTTATCTGCGCTCTTACACAATCTCTTATTTGKTTAATTATTTACCCAGGAGGGCAGATGATGGATAAAAGATGCTGAAATTGTTTGCAGTGTGAAATTTCAGTCTTGGGCCAATTATTGCGACATAATTTGTGCAGCCTGTGTTGCAAAAGTGCCCTGCTTGCACAGTGCTGCRTGTGCTACTTTTGAACAGTGATGTCATGTCTCACTCTCACTTTTTATGTGTGTGTGTGTTCTGTTACACACACTATGCCCCAGATTGGGTCAGGCAGGGCTGAACCTAGTTTAGGTTCTAATCTTCTTTCTGGGGCTCAGCATTTCCTTGAAGCACACCCTTCTCCTTTCAACACTCCTCAGAGCGGTCATTACACTCCGTAACACACACACACACACACACACACACACAGACCTCATCCCTAAATCCTTGCACTCTTCTCTACCCTATACTTATACAACCGCATTACTGCAGAGTAATGATGAATGTATGTGTGCAATAGGTGGGGATACAATTAAAGTCAGCGAGACATGAAGCATATGTTTTACGCAAAATGTCTTTGTGTTAATGTGTGTGTGTGTGTGTGTGTGTGTGTGTGTGTGTGTGTGTGTG